GGCAAAAACAAGAAGGCTATACACTCTGCTTCCATTGTTGGGGGATGGGGAGAAGAAGGAGTGACAGAAAACTATGGAAGTGTACTTTTTAACATATGGAAAAATAATGAGCCAGCCTAGTGCAAGTAAGGGTGGAAAGGAGCAGATGAACAGATGTAGTTCGCTGGAGTCCTAAAGTAAGAAGACATTGTTTTTGAGTGTGGACATAAAGAATTGTCAAAGGTGATGTGTAAACGTTTGCACCTGGCTTGTTGGGGACGAAGACATCATGGGTAGAATTGCGTTAGCCTACAAGAGGAATAGGCTTAAGAACATAAAAGAGAAACTCCTACTTTGGAATTTATGGAGCAGGGGCGCCTGGGTGGCTCCGTTGGTTGGGCGTCTGACTCTTTCAGCTCAGGTCATGAGCTCAGGGTCGTGAGATCAAGCCCCACATTGGGCTCTGCACTCAGCGGGGAGTCTGCTTGAGATTCTTTCTACCTCTGCCCCCCCCCCCACCCCACACTCATGTGTGCTCTCTCTTTCTCTTTCTCTCTCTCTCTAAAATAAATAAATAAATAAAAATTTAAAAAAAATTTTGGAGCTTGAGGTTCAAGTAGACCAGTGGGAAGATGTGACTGTCTTGCAAAAGGCAAATTGGCAGGCTAAGTTAAGAGAAACACTTCAAATGGTTTTACTGGGATGAGTGCTGCCACCTCAGATATTGTGATAATCCGGGTTTCTGGACAGGGTCTCCATCCTCAGATCAATGGCTCCTCTTTCTTCAGCCTCTGGATAGAGGTACATTCAAGGGGAATCTGTCATGGAAATGTCCCCATGGTAACATGGAAACCCAAGTGCCTGCGTTTGCCTTTTTGGAGCTTCTAACCCACACATTCTTTATGTGCCAAATCCATTTCGGTTTTACATATGGCCTTATTTGAAGTGGCTTTGGAAAGAAGGCTAAAAAAAAAATAAATAAGTAGAGCCCTCTAGGAGTCATAGGAAGTGAAGACTATTCCCCCTGTGGGACTTGAAACCACACTTGACTTTCTTCTTTCCCCATCCAGCCTGTGGAGTGCTCCCCAGGTGCCCTGAGCTGAGCTTCTGAAATGCTGCCACTAAAATTCAAAACTTGATTTAATATGACTTCCTTAATCGACCTTTAAAAAATTCATTTTGTCATCTAAAAATGAACACTTAGCAGGAGCAACTGTATTTGGAAAACAGAATGTCTATTCTCCATTTGGTTACTGCAGATACGCCTTCGACGTGCTTCCTTTTCAAAGCCCAAAATGTCTGCAGAAGTGTATATTAATTGAAATAATGTGAGAGTTTTTGAGCTGTCCAAAATTAAGCTGTTCAGAAGTTATGATAATTTCAAAGAACTGCTATAGGTTTTTGCATTAGAAGAAAAATGTGTAGTTGTAAAAGAGAGGCTGTTTGTTGTAATTGTAAATTTTGATACCTGAAAATATTCCTTTAATACCTCTTGGAGGATATAGGATTTTGCATTAATGCTATGTGTAGAAATTTGTGTCTTAATTGTGAAAATATTTGGTGGATCTTAGGGATTCCAAAATCAATTTAATTTTCTCAATAAGCCGTGACAGTGCAACAGTTGTTTATCTCATTCTCATTCCTAAAAGAAATTTTTTTCTCTAGTTTAGTGGCTGTGAACCAAGGTGATCCTACCCCCTGGGAGACATGTGACAATGTCTGGAGACATTTTCAGCAGTTGGCATAACTTTGAAGAGGGGAATGCCAATGGCATCTACTGGGTGAAGGGCAGGGATGTTTCTATACATCCTACACTGCACATGGCAGTGTCCATCACAAAGAACTCTCTAGCCCCCAGTGGCAATAGTGATGAGGTGGAGAAACCCTGCTTCCCATAATCTGTACCCTTATTCAACATTTAAAAAATAAAACATCTGTTTTAGCTCCTAGTGTGCCAGTATTTAGTATAACTGTCTTCTCTGATAATTTTGCAAAATGCTCATTGTTGTATGTTATTATTTACCATAACTCATGCTGTAAACACAAACTGAAAGTTCAATGTATAGAAATGAAGGGAATATGAGCCTATCTTTGGAACGTGAGCAGTTTTGTAATGATGATTAAAAATCGGTCCAGCTTATTGAAAGAACCCAATATCGGAGCCAAGACGTTGGGCACTTCCTGTGGTTGTCTTGGCAGGAGGGAAGAGTGTTCGCTGTCTTCCCATCTCAGACTTGTAGAAGTGGTCCGTGGGCACTTGTGTCTTCTGTTAGGCCTTCAGCTTCATGAAATTTCCATCAAGGGAGAGCAATATTGCAAACTCTTTACTGAGAACACGTGAAGAGTTAAACCCGTGGATTCCTCTTTAGGATTTGACACTGACTTCTTGGGGAATATTGGCCAAGTTCCTCATTTCTCTGGGTCAGTGATACTGCTTTTGGAGAGAGCAGGATGCAGCAAACAGCCCCCTTAGTGCTCTTGTAAAGACTAGATGAGATCACGCATCTGAAGAGTGGGGAAGGGACATGCATGCCAAGTGCTCCATAGATGCATGTCCTAGTTCTGAAATCTGATTTGGGGTTCTAAGAACTCATTCTGTATATTCTCTTCTTGGGAAGATGGAGGGAGGGGACTGCCCCAGTCTGCCCATGTAGATTGGCACCTGGCTCAAGGGGTGCCTCCAAAGAGATGCCTGGTTTCTTTCCATCTATCCTAGGTGTTTTGGTTCATAAACTGTCTAACAACATAACTTTTTCCCATTCTATATAAAGAATAGAAATAGAATGCTAAATAATAATACTTGACTGAAAAACATCTTCATAGTCCTTTTAAAGAGGTAAAATAAAAATATTTACCAGAAAAATAGTATGGCCATGGTGATCTTTTGCCCATATGTTTTGGCCCAAAGTCCCTTATGAATAGACTGAATTGGGAGGAGATGGGCATGAAACAGCTGGTCCATGCCCAACCTAGGCTACCCAAGGAGGATTTCTGGACACATTTCCCCACTTGTGGTGGAATTCTTCTTGGCTGTCATTCTGAGACACCTGAACTTGCAGGATCTTAGAGAAGAGGATATGGGGACCTCACCCCCATTGTCTTCCTGGAGTGGGGCTAGGTACCCCTTCTCTCGGGCAACATCAGCTATAAAGCAATGGCTGATCCACATGACTGTCCCTTCCCCCGGGCTGTCAAGTGCCTGAGAGCTGGGATTCTGCATCCATCCTCTGCCTCCAGAACCTTGCTGCCTCATCCAAGAAGCTCATAAGTGCTTGTCTAGTGAGCAGGTGTTCGGGTTGGAATCCCCTAGAGAAAATGAAGGGGCACATTTGGGAGATCCATATTTCCTTTTATGTCGTGCCCCCTGATCTTTCATATGCTCTGTTGTCTGTGATGGTTGTATGCATAGAGCTTACGTGATACCCTCTTGCACAGTGAAATGGTGACTGTTACTTTTTATTGTAATATGTGCGGTGTGGACCCCCGTGTCTATGCAAGAGGGGGAATGAGCGTGAGCCTGGTGTCCTTCCAGGTCTTACTTTCTTCAGATCCACCAGGAGCAGGGCACACGTCCTCCTTGTGAACACATATCTTGACTCACCGCAGAAGAGCTGGCGAGCTGTCTCTGCGCCCTTCCAGCTGCGCTGGAATTTGGGGTTCCTTGTGAAGCATGGATCACTCTGAATGTGGGACGAGTTCTTCCCTTAGCTTCGCTTCTGTTCTTGAGTGAAGAGCCGTGTGGCAGAGCTCACCAGATGCCATTCTTCTGTTTCCCTGACCTTGGCTCTTCCCACTTGATTTATCACCTTTTCATCCTTCTCCATGTCCTTCTGTCTCTGCTGCTTTTGAAATGAAAATGGCCTGTTTTATGACCTACTAAACCATTTTACTTTCATTCCAAATCTTTCTCTGTGCTTTCATATTGATTTATTTTTTATCAAGGAGACATTCATGTAACATAAATTAGCCGTTTGAAAAGGAAGAATTGGATGGCATTTAGTACGTTCACGGTGTTGTGCAACAAACACCTGCATCCAGTTCCAGAAAAACTGTCATCACCCAAAAGGGAACTCTGCTCCTATCAGGTAGTTACTTCCCACTTCCCCTTTATAGCCCCTGCCAGCCTCCACTTTGTTTTCTGCCTCTGTAGATTTATTTATTCTAGATAGCTCACAGAAATGGAACCTTACGATGGGGGGTCTTTTGCCCTAGCTATATTCACTTAGCATAATGTTTTTGAGGTTCCTCCATGTGAAAACACCTATCCATACTTCCTTTCTCTGGCTGATTAGTACTCCACTGCCTGGGTGCACCACAGGCTGCTTATCCGTTCCTCCACTGGTGGACATTTGTGTTGTTTAACACCTTTTGCCTATTGCGAATAGTGCTATTATGTATTACGAACGTGTGTCCATGCATTGGTTTGAGTACCTGTTTTCAGTTCGTTAGGGCATAGACTTGAGAATGGAATCTCTGGGTCATATGGTAATTGTGCATTTCACTTTTTGAGAAACTGCCAAACTGTTCAGTTTCCTAACAGCTGAACCATCCCTAAGCTGTTTCATTTTATTTGTTACATGGCCACACTGTTTCTACTTTCCAGCCCCCAGCTCCCCCAGATAATACCTGTCCATCCTCCATGGGTCTCTGGAAACAGTTTGAAACAGAACTCAGGAATCCAGATATGCGTGCTGAAGTGTGGATACAAAACCCAGGGAGTTTAGGACCCCCTTTGCATCCAGATCCAGAAAGTGCTCAGAGTTACCTAATGTCTGCAGTGGTTTGGGTCTCAAAACTGGAAATCCCCAAATTTTGAAAAAGGACGATTTTTCTTCCTCATGATAGTTAGTCCTTCCTTGTAATCCATTGGGTTTGTCTGAACACGCTGTCTTGTTTTATCATAATCCCACTTTCTAAATGGGTGCTGGTCATGGTGTTTGGTGCAGCCATTAATGGGAAGGAGAGGGGGAGCAGTGGGGGAATGGGGACTCTCTGTGACTCTCCCTGTTCTTTTCCCATAGGTATCGTTCTTCCTCTTCATCATCTTTGTGGTGTACACCATGCTGCCCTTCAACATGCGAGACGCCATCATTGCCAGCGTGCTCACCTCCTCCTCCCACACCATCGTGCTGAGCGTCTGCCTGTCGGCCACGCCAGGGACCAAGGAGCACCTGGTCTGGCAGGTGGGTGCACCTCACCTCTGCTGGCCCTCACCACCCCACCCTGTGTGCCAGGGGTGCCGTGTGCTGGTTCAGGGTGGGGCTGTTGGTACCTGGCAGGTGCTCAAGCTCTGCTCTCTGCTGTGGACTCCATTGTTTCTGGTGGGTAGCCAGCCACACCTGCCTCCATTAGTGGAATCAACACTTAGCAATCAGCATCAGTGAAAATTAGAAATGGTGGTTCCATCTTGCGGATTGCTGAATGGTGGTATGATTGTGAGGCTTACAAGCTATTCTATTTTAGCACTTTTATTTTTAGAGTGAAAATAACTTACACAGTTATATTCATAGTTCTCCCCCACCTCTCTCCACCTGGATATCTGAAACCCCTTCTTCATGGAGGAGAAAAGATTGCTCCATTTCCTAATCTGGCAGGTCCAAGGGCATGAAAAAGGTCTTTAAAATGCCACGACAGCAAATTTAGCTTTACTAATAAATGTCATTTCAAAGAAGCCATTGTATTTAATTAGTTGAAAGCATTTAAAAAAGCGATTTGATTTCTTATGTACATCCGCACCCTCATCCGTACCTGAGGGTCAGTGGTTTGGAGTTATTCCTTTTTTTACCAGGAACAGGTATGATTAATTTTGTTTTATTAGACTCAAACATGTAAGAAAAGCAGCCATGGTGTAAAATCCGGGAGGCACTGACAGAATTGGTGAACGAACAACACTGCCGTTGAAAAGGGGATTTTAGACGTGGCTCACGTGAGCCCCGTGGGGTCTGAGAACCCAGTTTGTCATTCAGTTGATGGAATGCTTTATTTGGAATCTTGAAATGGAACTGGAGGCTTATCCTTGGCTGTCTAGTAATCCCTCTGAGTTGGAAAGCTCTCTAGGGATCCCTTTTCTCAATATTCCTCTCTTAGAGCTCATAACACAGCGTTCAGTAAGCCCTGCATTCATGAGATGTCCTTTGTTGGCACTGCGCAAGTGTGAGCGCCCTGGCCCTGTTCCTGCGCGGTGGGCCACAGGCCGAGGGATTCTGCGCGGTGGGCCGCAGGCCGAGGGATTCTGCGCGGTGGGCCGCAGGCCGAGGGATTCTGCGCGGTGGGCCGCAGGCCGAGGGATTCTGCGCGGTGGGGCGCAGGCCGACGTGATTGTGCGCCGTGGGCCGCAGGTTCACGCGGGCGGGCTCAGACCAGGAGGCAAGCCTCATCCTTGGGTGCACTGCCTGTGAATGACCGGAGTAGCCTGTACCTCCCGGGATGCACAGGGAGACTGGTCAGGAACTAATCAAATGGAAGGAAGAAGGTGGTGGTTTATGAAGAGAAGAAACAATCCAGCTGTGCCTGGGGACAGGTGGGGAACGTGTTCCTTCTTATAGGAGCGCTGTCCCGGCTTTGCTTCCATCTGCTGCATGGCAATTTCTCTTGAAGGTATTTATGGGACATTTCTCCTTTCTCTCGTAAATTCACTTTGCCATTCTCCCCGTAATGGGGCCTGGGTGGTGGGTATGTTTTTGCAGGAGGAAGGAGTGTGTAAGCTGCTCCACCAGCTGACAGTATGAAAATCACTGTGGGAAAGTCCTCGCCACACGGGCATCAGGACTGTCGAGCGTGTTTTCAGGGCTTATGTCACCTTCCTGGTTTTAGGCTCCCCTGGAAGACATCCCTTGAACATGTTGTACCTGTCTCTTCTGCCCCTTCATGAATAAATAGTGTCTGTGGGGCAGGTGTAATAGAAAAAAAAATATCTGGGAAATGAGGATTAAGATACATGCCTGTAATGGGGCGCCTGGGTGGCTCAGATGGTTAAGCATCTGTCTTCGGCTCGGGTCATGATCCCAGGGTCCTGGGATCGAGCCCCATGTCCAGCTCCTGGCTCAGCGGGGAGCCTGCTTCTCCCTCTGCCTCTCCCCCTGCTCGTGCTCTCTCTCTCTGTGTGTGTCTTGAATAAATAAAATCTTGAAAAAATTAAAAAAAAAGATACATGCTGTAAAGATTAAATGGGGTTAAAAAAAGGTGGCGGGGTAAAGACCCTGGTTTATTCTAGGTCATTACATACTATAGTGGGTTTGGTCTTTTAAAGCATTTTTAGTTTTTTCCATTCGTTAAAAAAAATTGGGAAAGAATGCAATCTTAAATATTTAATTACTCAATTTTCAAAACACACAAAGGCAGATAATTCTTATCAGTGGACAGCCAGAGATGGGATAATTCTGGAATAGCAGAAAGAAGACAAGCTTTTCATTCCACATATTTCATAGAATAACATTGAAAGGAGCAAAAGAACGGAATGTCAGTTTTTCCTTTCTTCATAAGTAATTTCACAGTGATTCCAAGATACAGGAAAGACAGAAGATGCTGACAGATTAAAAATGGAAGGTCATTGGTAAATGTCAGAGTAATGAGAAAAAGACCTCTAAATACCTTTGGCCACTGTAGGTTATAGGACATACAACCTACAAATAGCGCTGGTTTGTGATGTGAGAAGAACACTTCACTGAGTTCTGTTTATTTTATTTTATTTTTTATTTTATTTATTTTATTTATTTTATTTTATTTTAGAGAGAGAGATTGACAGCACGAGCGGGGGTGGAGGAGTAGAGGGAGAGGGAGAGAGAGAATCTTAAGCAGGCTTCACACCCAAGATGGAGCCAGATGCAGGGCTCCATCTCACAATCCTGAGATCATGACTGGAGCCGAAATCAAGAATCAAATGCTTAACCTACTGAGCCACCCAGGACCCCCACTTAGTTCTGTTTATGAACCGTGTACATAAATTAGAATGCTATAGATTAGGTGGTTATATTTCTGCAGTGTAATTGTTTAAGTCAAAACTACATAAAATAAAAGATACTGGTTTCCTATAAAAAGGTTTGCCCATGAGCGATGATCAGTATTACCCTGCCTTCCAAGCCATCAAAGAAGGAATGCATTTTATTTAGCATGGATCTGTATTAAGAATATTTGTTCACTTTATTTTTTGAACATTGGCAATCCATCAATAGCACCAAAATGCTGACATCATAGAAAACCCTATTCCCTTCCATGTTGATTAACAGAGTTCATTTTTCTCAGGAAATTTATTTTCCCAGCATTTGACTTGAAGTAGAATTCAGCTTCAGGCTATGCTCTGTCACTGAACTGAGGAAATTTAGTTAATAACTGAAAATCATGAATGGTAATTTCTAATGCATTTAAACATAAAGTATAATCCCTAACAGCTTTTTTAACTTTTATTTTGACACAATCACAGACCCATCAGTAAGTTCTAAATCTAATACAGATAATTTTTTTTTTCCTAATCCATTGAAAGATGGGTTGCCAATCTGATGTCCCCTTGCCTCTAAATGCTTTAGGCTGCATTTCCTACAGTGCCATTCTACTTAACCATAATGCAACCAACAAAACTGGGAAATTCACATTGCTCTGCTGCTGCCATTCAGATTCCTCCAGCTTCCCCAATAACGTCGTTTCTAGAAAAGGGCCCAGATCAGAATCCTGCAATGTTGCAGTGTGTTCTCAAGTCTCTTTGGTCTCCTTCAGTCTGGAGCGACTCCTTAGTCTCCCCTTGGCTTTCAAGATCTTAACACTTTTGAAGATTACAGACCAGGTATTTCATCAAATGTCCTTCAGTTTCAGTCTGTCTGATGTTTCCTCAAGAATAGATTCAGGCTATGTATCTTTGGCAGGAATCACAGAAGTGATGGTGTGTTCCCATCATGTTCTCTCAGGATCTCATTATTTATGTTGGTCATTAGTGTGATGGTGCTGTCCACCAGACTTTCCCACTTTGGGATTACTCTTTGTTACTAAGACGTATTTTGTGGAAATGTACTTTGAAACCAGGCAAGTATCCTGTTTTATTTACTTGTTGATGTCTACACGCTCTTGTGTTTCTCTGTTCTATACAGTGGGTTATAAGCCACGACCATCACTGTTTATTTTGATACCTGTATGGGCTCAGATTTGTCCCACGGGTGCCCCTTCAAGCTGGCTTCTGTACCTTTTTTGATGTGTCCCTCTCACTCTTGGAGCACTTCCTCACTTTCACTTTTCTTGGTCCAGCCTGCAGCCTGTACATGCTTTCTCATGCTTTCCCTGCCATGGCTCTGAAATCCACCATCTCTCCGAGGAGCTGTGGGTCTTTTTCTTGAAGAATGGCACTTGCAAGCAAGATCTGGGCTTCAGGTCTTTCCATTCCCACTTGGTTGTCAGTACTCCCAAGGCAAGGTTCACACGCATCTACACCTACATCTACTTTTATCTATGCTTCCATATTAAGTACCATGACTTCACACTGGTATTTTCAACCCGCCATGGGTTCCATGCCAGTTTTTTCCCTTTCCATTGTAACTCCTTGACTAATAGTGAAAACAATGTAGTTCCCATGATCCTTAATATATTTATTTATTGGATCAATCCTGGTATGGAACCAGTCTCCTATCTCAGTTCCCGCCCCTACTGCCACACAGGTGCCTTCTCACTTCACCCAAATTCCCTTCCCCTCACACATGCCCCCCTTCCCTGGCTCAGGCTCTGACACCCCATCCATATGAGGTCCCCTCCCCCAACTGGGGCTCTGTCCTCTGTGTTTTCCCCATTGTAGACTCTTCTGGGACCCAGCCCAGCTTTATCACTGTGGGCGAGTTTAGCTTCCCTGGTCCCCTGTAGGTGCAGCTGTTTCTTCCTCTGCCTGATGGCTGGGGGCTGAGTTATTCAGGAGAGAAGGAGGGGCACCTGGGTGGCTCAGTCGGTTGGGCGTCCAACTCTTGATTTCAGCTCAGGTCATGATCTCAGGGTGGTAAGATTGAGCCCTGTTCATGCTCCATGCTCAACAGAGAGTCTGCTTAAGGTTCTCTCTTCCCCTCGCCCTCTGCCCCTCCCCCCCGCTCGTGCACATGCACACCCTCGCTTTCCCTCTCTCTCTCCCTCTAAAAGAAATTAAATAAATAAGTAACTAAATAAAATTAAAAGGCCCCATTCAGGAGAGAAGGAAAAGGACAAGAGGAGCAGGAGG